TTGTAAGGAAATTATTTTTAGTTGATTTCTGTAGCTGGTAAAAATTTTGCAAATTTGGTATTGCACACTTTTTATAGGTTTTGGCAATAACCACTGTACACGGTGTTATTGGTGTTGACCAGGTAGTTGCCAATGTATCGCGCTGTTTACGAGCTAACCAAACTACGGTAAGCACAGAAATTGCTTTTTATTCTAAGATTTAGAAGAAAAAGTCTTTTAACAGCTTTTCTTAAATGAAAAATAATGCTTTTTTGTAGTTTATTGTTTATAATTATGGATTCTGTCATGTTTAGTCAAAAACAGTTATTAAATTTTAGATATCAATTTATAAAGGAGCAGGGGAACCACTGGTGGGAAGAGTTAAAAAATTTAATTCAGAATATTTATTTGGACGGGATGGCAACAGTGATCAAGGCGACAAACATCCAAAGGTTTATATATGTGTCCTCCCTTGGTTGAAAATTTGATGGCATTGATAATTTCACATTTTTATAATTTAGGGCTGATTTGGTAAGAAAGCGACTTTATTTGGTGAGCTCGGCAAAAAGTTACTGAGTAACTCTTTGGTGAAGATTGTTATCAAACTTCTTGTCCTATTGAAAAATTTGTTTTTTTTAGACTTCTTTAATTGGTTTTAGGCGGACAAGGAGCTGTTGCAAAGTTACATAAACGTAATTACTTCTTTTTTTTTTACTTTAGGTGTTACCAAAAGATTTTACTAATTATGACGCTGAGAAACCTGCTGCTTTAGCCTTAATAGACTTATTGAAAATTCATGACGACGTTACGCTGGTTTGTATCGGTATGCTCTTCTTCATGCGCTAATTACACTATCTCGTCTTCAGAAGCTTTAATATCCTATTAAATCCTTTATTTGTTCTTTTCTGCTATCAGCAGCTTAGAAGCTTTGAAATAATTATGGTCTTAGAAAAAATTTTATCTGAATAAAATGACTGCCATTGTAAGCTAGTCGTTTCGAGTAATCTAGATCAATTAAGATACGTGTATCAACTAGGTCTCATTATTTTTTCTAGGGCCGTTAACAAATATTGCACTCGCGATACAGTTGTGTGAAAACTTTGTCAGACTACCGAAAGAAATGTTTATTATGGGTGGAAATATGTTTGGTAAGGTTTTACTCACTGCCTTAGATTAGAATTTGTTTTTTTTTTCGGGATATTACTTCCTGCTAAGCACTTAAAAAATGTACGGTCCTAAGGTGTTGGAAATCTCGGATCAAATTTTACAACGGAGTTCAACTTTGGCTCTGATCCAGAAGCTGCGAGTATTGTTCTAAAGAATATGCAATGTCCCATAACCATCATTCCATGGGAAGCAGCATTTTTTGAGAAAGATACTTTAGTAGGTTGACTTATGAATACATTAATTTTAGAACACCAACACGAAAGTTGGTCTTTTTCTGCCCTTGATTTACATTACAACTTTATAGTTTTGGAAGAATTTTATCAAGGGAAGATGGGGAAATTAGGAAAAAAATTGGGGAAGAAATTTGAAGAAGTCAAATTACTATATAAAATTATTAGTTATTGTTCAGCTGTTAATTTAATTAGTTTAAACATAAACGACTACTTAAGGAAGAAAAAGAAGTCGATTTTCATGAGCATTTGCATATGGGCACTTCATTATCAAATTATTTTGATGCAATCACCACTAAAATGCAAGCAGCTCGAGCAAAGGCTAATCGCCAGTATGCCTATGTGGATGAAATAGCTGTCGGTAGTGCAATAGATGCCGAGCGAATTGTTAAAGAATTCAGAGAGTTAACAGTCGTAGTCGAGTTAAACGGAAAATACACAAGGTATTTTGAAAAACAAGAGACTTTGGTAATAAATAGACCAAGGAAGTGGACAACTGGTTCTATGACAAATAAAATATTAAAAAAAGTTGTGGTGAAGTGCCTCAGAATCTATAAAATTATTATTTTTTTTGCAAGAAAGTTTTTATCTATGCTAGATGATTCTGTAATAATATTGTATGCGATTACAACATACTGGTGGCCTGAGTCAGTGTTGTTCTTTTTTTTAAAATTGTTGTAACTCTGCTAAAATTTTTTTTTTTAGAGGTCAGATTGCTTGTGATTGGACAAATCCGTCTGTATGCGATCAGGAAGATGACGAAGAAAAAGGGAGAAAAGTTAAATTTGTGGTCTCCTACAATGTGAAAGAGTTGAATCAGATGATGATTGATGCGGTAAAAAACTGCCAGTAAAATGTGAAAGGAAGTTACGATTTATAGTTTACCAACAAAGCTTTGCTTTAGGAAAACTGCTTTGAAAGTAAATTTTACTCAGTTAACTGCCATTATCGGCGCTGTTTTAAAACAGTGTTTCTCAGTTATTAGAATAACACTACTTTTTTTTGCTTTTTTATTAGCACCGAACAAACGAGGTCTAATAACAGGGTTTTATTTTAAAAAGAAAAGTAATTCAGATTTTTGATAAGCCTACCAACAAAACCGGGAATAGTTGAAATTGTGACCGGTGTCAAAATTGATGAAGGTAATTAAATTTAAATTTCTGATTGAGTAAAATTTTTTTAAAAAAGATTTTCTGTTGAGTATTATTTGGTATCTTAAATTTTTTTTAAGCTTTTTAATTTATATTGAACGAATGGTGTGAAGTGCAGCAGAAGAGATTCTAAATTTTTTTAAAATAAATGCCTGCAAAAAATATCCACATCATTGTTTATTTCTTGAAAACTTGTAAAACTCTTAATCTTAACCTTAAGGTTTGTTTGAGCTCTAATTTTTATTGTGAGGTTGATGGAATGTTATACTTTTTATAGAGCAGAACAATTTTAAGTGCTTCTAAAGAATCAAGTTAAAAAAGCATTTGTTCTTTTGGTCATCAACTTTTCTCATTGATTTCGTTTAAAAGCACGGCTACCATTTTAACGGTGTTTATAGACATCTGAGTAATTTGTGTTTTACAGCAATTACGAAGAACATCGAGGGAAATAGAATGAAGACTAGTGACTAAGATACAGCAAAAATTTTAGTCTTCTTTATCACAGAATTTTTGATGACAATGTTGACAAAAAATTTTCTTTTTTGAATAGCTTTAAGTACAACATCGATCATATTGTATATTAGCTGATGTTCACAGGGATGCAGAAAAAAAAAAAAACCAATATGGCTGAAAATGATTTATTATGATAACAGTAGGGTCAGTACTAATCAAAGGCACTGATGTTGCTGTATTCTCTAAACTGTTCATCTGGACAATCAGCAAACAATTCAAAAAAAAGAAGAATTTGTAAGTGGTACTCTTTTTGGTAATTTATAATTTTTTCTCGAAAATTAGTCACTATCATGAATAGTATCTTTGCCATTACTGCGCATCTTCGTATATCTTTTATTACTGTCAAAAATCACTCTTTAGGATACATGCATAGTTGACTTCGCTTTTACAAAATTCAACCATCAATTGAAATTGTTTGTTGTCAAATCATAGCCTTCTAATAATTTATTATTTAATGGGAGAAATAAACAAGTTATAAAGTGTTAGATGTTGTCGACAAGGTTGATAAAAATATACAAGTTCTTGTCTTTATGACAGGATATATTGACTCGTCTAAGTCTTTTGTACTAAAGAGTGTTTTCAGTAAAAAATAATGATCTTTTTCGCAGTTTTTCAGGCATTTTTGGTCTTCAAATTTATTTAGCGGAATAGTTATTTAGGGGGAATGACATATGCATTATTAGAAGCATATACAAAAAGTTATTTTTTTGAAATTCTTCACTATGCGAAGCTGTCATTCTGTTAGAGCTTTAAGATGGCTCCTCAGAAAATGTAAGAAAAATAGGATAAAGAATACTAATTTCAGTCTCATAGCAAGTTACTGCAAAACCTTTTTCTTGAGACATTAATTCTCTAAAAATCTGGTAACAATTCAAAAGGTAGAATAAACTACAAGAAACTGGTGTTTTTTGCAAAACTCTAATTTTAGAAGAACGAAAACGAAGGATATGATGTTAGGCGCATAAAAAAGTTTTTTTTATTAAGAAAAGTTTTTTGAATCTGTTTACGGCACACCAAAGATAAGGCATCCTCTGCCGAAGAACTAATCTGAATATGATTTCCGTCGTTCTCTTCACTGTTCAAATAGTGCCGTTTCTTAATTGTTGCTTAGACTAATTCACAAATGTATAAACCTTTTTTTCAATCTAACTTTAAGTCAGCAGTAGAGTCTGATAACCAAATGCAACTACATGCTATTCTACGAACCATATTTAAAATCGTAGAACTCAAGTGGTTACACTTTGCAATAATAAGTTGAGAACTTCAGCTTCGCTGCGTAATTGCTATCACACTCAAGTGTTTGGTGCCTAGCTGAAAAGTTGAACAAATGTATTAGCATAGTGTAGATAAGTTCAGTATGCTACTTTATGATCTGTCTTCGAAAAGAATTCTAGCAATTTTTTTAGTTCAAATTTTATGTCATGTAATAAGTTTACAGAAAAACAGTGGTGGAAATAAAAAGAATGTCTATTGAAGTTAAACATTGTTTTATTTTGTGTGTTTGTTTTGGGTGATAAACAAGTTGAATTATTTATGTAAAATATGCATTATTTTTATAAATGTATTTGGTAAAGCTATAGTGATTTGAATGAGCAGTTAATACGATTTTTGCAAAGCGCTACTTTAAGAATGTTCCTCTAATAGAGTGACACAATTAGCACTACTAATAAAGGTAGGTATCAGTGCAGAATAAACTGCGCTAAAAAACCTAAGACGACTAGTTTTTAAAATAAAAAAGCAATGAGATTTCTAAAAGTCAAATATTCTTTCCTACTGTACTTTGCCCTTCATTTCTTTTTCTGACTTTTTTCATCTTCAGTTTCCAAAATATATGCCAAAAAATCACTTTTTTTGCATAAATCATAGCAGAGCTGTAATAAGTGTGCTTGGCAGTAAAAGAGTGAAACAGCACTAAAACACCACTTAAAAATTTTGAAAAGAATTCTAGCTTTTGATTTTTTTGTCATCGATTGTAGTCTGAAAAAACTGATGAAGTTCTTTCAAGAAAAAAGATTTGGACAGAAGACATCATACTCTGTTTGCCAACTAGCGGCAATATGATTTTTCGATTAGACAGACTTATAAAAAAGATATTTTCTGTAGAAATTTTATAAGGGTTAGTGATTTGCAATAATTAGGTAACAACTTTATTGATATTTAACAGAAACTTAATGGCAATATTGGTTTCTAAGCTTTTTTTTTTTCAACTAATACTTGCAAGTGGTTTGGGTTGTTCGTGAATCCTCAGGTGGGTTGCTACTGTCTGGTTTTTTTTTTAAACCTCATTATGCGTGATTATTCGTGAGAGTTTTTTTTT